ATACTGACCCAATAGATCCTGTACAAATAACATTCTATACTCCTTATTCATGTGCATTAGAAATTCCGGCAGAGGGTTCTCCTTGGTGACACAACTGGTTATAGCACCACATTATGAAGCTCTCTGAAGCCACTGCAGCATGAGTTCAATACCTGGCCAGGGAACTGACCCACATGGTGCTGCAGACATCTTCTGACCTACCCGCTGCTCCCCTCAGCAGTGTACTTCGCCATTCGGCCTGTTCTGCTCCTCACTCTTGTCTCTGGTGAATCCTTCCACCACCCCTGCACCTCTGGCCTGTACTGCCAGTTCTGTAAGCATAAATAAATAAATCCTTAAAAAAAAAGAAAGAAAGAAACTCTGGCAGAAAGCCACATGAAGAAATTAATAAATATGAAGTGATGAAGAAATAAAGGAATTGAATTAAGCCAATAATAACAAAAATGTGCTGGGGAGATTTTAACCTAAGTTTACCATTACATGAACACAGTGACTAACTCCTTGATTTCAGCTTCGTGAGTCTCTGAGCAGAGAAACTGGCCATGATGTACCTGACTTCTGATGCATAGGAGCTGTGAAATAATAAATTTTGTTTTATATGCCTCTAAGGTTGTAAGAATTTGTCACACAGCAATGGAAACCTAATTCAGGTTTTATTTATATTTACTGACAAGGAAAAAATGCTCAAATACAATACTAGGTTAAAAAAAAGCCAAGTCTCAGAAAAGAATATATGGCTCAGTTAAAATATGTGCATATATATTGTTTGGTTAGTAAAGTATTTTAATAAAGTAAAAAAATTTATAGTGTTATAAGATTTGGAGCACCATTACAATTACCTTTATTTCTACTACAAAAGGAGATTAGTCTTAAACCACTCTAATTAAATTATCAAGAAAAAACATTTTAATAACTTTTCAATGCAGAGCTTTCATAAAAGTTTATTAAGCTTACTAAAAGCATGTTTTACATTAACTGTTAGAATAGTTAACAATCGTTCTCCCACTTGTCATTGTTCTATGACTCATATATATTACATTTCAAGTTTTAAATTATTAGAACTATAAAAAGATGAATAGGCCCTCCCTGGTGGCACAGCGGGTTAAAGCACAGCACTAAGAAGCTACTTCTGTATGAGTTCGATCCCCGCCTGCCCCAGAGGTGACCATGTGGCGTGGCAGACCTCTCCTGATCCACCCGCTGCTCCCCTCAGCAGTGTACTTCGTTTATCTGCCTGTTCTGCTCCCCAATCTGTCTCTGGTGAATCCTCTCACTGCCCCTGCATCTCTGTCCTGTACCCCAGGTCTGTATGCACAAATAAATAATGAATCTTTTAAAAAAAAAAAAAGATGAATAAACTTTTATGAGCATGAATTGTTTTTTTTTAGAAATCATCTTTTAAAAAATATTTTATTTATTTATGCATACAGAAATGGGATACAGGCCAGAGGTGCAGGGGCGGTGAGAGGATTCACCAGAGACAGATCTGGTAGCAGAACAGGCAGATCTACGAAGCACACTGCTGAGGGGAGCAGTGGGTGAGACAGGAGAGGTCTGCTGGGCCATGTGCATCACCTCCTGGGGCGGGGATCAAGCTTGCACTGAAGTGGCCACAGCTTGGCTTAGCTTCACAGTGCAGCACTTCAACCTGCTGGGCCATCAGGGAAGGCTCAAGCATGAAATTTTTACAACTTATAGCATGAAGTAAAAAGTTGTATTCATTTTCTAAAGTTAGTTTAGCAGAAAACAGTAATTTCTTTTGCAGAGTAAGTGGGAAAAAGTAGAAGTTTGAAAGCCTTATTTTTCTTTAAACATTCATCTTGCTATTGAACATTATTCTCTACTGACCTTAAAAGAAACACAATTATGATGTAATCTTTCCTAATTCAGTAGTTTTATTTCCTGTAAATACATGCAAAAAATGATTTCCAATAATATGCACCAAACTGGATGGGCTGGATTGCCTTATTTTTGAAAAACAAACCAGTCATTAAAATAATAAAACATTTATAAAAGAATAGAGAGGCTAAAATAGAAACGGAAATTACAAACTAATATAGGATGTGTGCTGTATATGTGTTAACCAACTGTGGGGTTTACCAATATAGATTATTTGTATAGAAACAATACTGGCAGTTTTAAATATATGGATATAATAATATTATTAATTAATTTGATATCGATTAAATTACAGTGATTTAAACACTCTCGAGGCATTAAAACAAGTAGTTAAGTTGCTATCAACGGAAAGCAAATAAGAGAGGATGGGTCCTGGGACAAGGACAGGCAGGACTCAAGGACAAAACTTCTACTCCCACGAGCTGGTAAACAAGAGGTTAAGAATCTGACTCTAGACTGGGACAGCTGCTGCCAGAAATTTCCAGCCTGGGCATTCCTGAGCTATCTTTCCACAGCTAATCAAATCCCCTGTTATGGGGAAAAGAGGGAGTCACAGACTCAAAAGAAAAGAGTGTAACATGTCTTGAGACCAAACCAGTTCGAACCAGAGCTGCAGGCACACAGCCTCCAGGACATGTTCACCTTGGAAATGGTCATGAGCTCTGCGTGACCATGACCGTGACCCAGACCCAGCTATAGCTGGTGAGTGCTCACAACTGGCAACAACAAATGAGCTGTAGCCAAGTCCACTCTCCTTGCCTTCTCAGTCAACAAAGCTTAATTCCACTGTTCTCAAACCCCAGTGCTAAAACCTATTTAGACCCCAGCCCTAGCCCCTCCTAGGGTCTCCCTGGGTCTCTTTTTCTTACTTGTTTGCTGTTCAATAAATGCTGACACCTTGCCTGCCCTCACCTGTGTCTGGAATCCTTTCCAATCTTGAGAAGAGGGGTCTCAAGAGCCCTTTCCTGGGCTTGACATCCAACCCCTGAGTCCATGCTTTGATTTCCAGAGGGTGGAGCAGTGGACTATGAGGCCGGTTCACTCCCAGCTTACTCACCTGTGTTGCTGGAGGGTGGGATAGGACTGTGATCTATTTTCAAAATGATTCTGTAGCTGTGGATTTGTTTCATAATAGTGTTTTAAAGCCATTTACATAATAGTCAGAGGTTTTATTACTTTTTCCCTATGACCCTAGCTTCTCAACTGTACCTGCAATAGAATTGTACAAGGAACTTAAATGCAGGTTCCCAGACCTACCTCTAGATCTAAACTACAAGAATCTTCAGAGAAAAGAAGGAATTTAATCTCAGGGGTCTGCTTTGAATGTGATAGGTTTAAAAAACATTATCTAACAGACTTAAGAGCAAATTTATGAACGTGAAATAAGAAAAAATGAAACAAAAATAAATAAAATGAAATTTAAAAAATATAATAAACCAGGTAGCACTCAGTGTTAGTGGACATTTTAAAAAACAAGAATGTTCATATATTACAGACACCAAATTGGACAATATTTTTCAAGGCCAATTTCTATGACAATTAAAAGCATCCACATTCATTATTCAACAAACACAGTTCTAGGGATTTAACACTCCAGTATCTGTATACAAGCTAATCGGCATACAAATTCAATCAGCTTTGTCTCTGATGGTGAAAATGACAAGCAACCCAAATGTATGTATGTACAGTAATTGATATGTGTGTTATTATTATTTTGAAGGGACAATTTGGATAAATCTGAAAATGTGAATAGCATATTTCTTGAGACAGGTATAGAGTCGAGAGTGTTTGTCTACCTTAGTTTTAACTTCTAATTTTACTGAAGGAGTTTTCTAGTACCTTGGGAGCTTACCAAGCCTGGGCTTAGGACAACCTAGAAGTGCCAGAGATTTTTTTTTTAGCATCACAGGGATGTTTTATTGACTACATCAACAACCAAACATTGTCTGTGGATAAACACCTCACTTTTCCCACTGCTAACTGACATAAATCTAAGTAACATTCTATTGGGTTCCTCAGCCTTAGAGAGGCTCCAAACAGATTCTGCCAGTTGCACTTTGGCAATGTCTGGTTTTGGTGTTATGTTTTAAAAGAACTTTTCATTCTAAGATTATATCCAAAGCAACATTTGTTATAGTCTATTTTCAAAGGTTCTATGTATTTTTTTATTTACACATTTAGTGTCTGTATTTAAGTGTGATTGGAACAAGGCACTTCATTTTTTCCCAAACAGCTAGTCAATTATCCCAGCACTGTTTCTTTATAATCTACCTCTGCCCACTGCTTCAAAATATTTCAGTCAGATTACTATTATTTCTCCATGTCTGGGTTTGACAATTGGCTTACTATTTTGTTTTAGTTTATGTTCTGGTATAATAATGTAGCGTCACAATATTTTCTGTTAGCAAAACGTGTCTAAACTATTGTTCCGAATTGCGGGAAGACTTCAGTGTTGCTCCATTTTCGAGGTCGTTCTAGAGTCTTGTAAAGTTGTTGTACCGTTAGTACTTGTTGCACTAATATCATTCTGAGGAGAACATGTTTGTCACAGGCTCTCAAGATGTGAAAAGAAAATAGGTTGCCAAATTTTACGACTCAAATCCTATAATTATTTACAACTGGAAATAACTGTGCTGTAGAATTATAACATTCAAAAATAATTGCACATTTATGCGAAGTAAAATAAAATCAGTTACCCTTCCTCCTTCCAAAAAAACTAAGAGAGGGGGGAAATAATTAAGATAAAAGCGGGAGGTGTTAAATTCTATTTTCCAGATTTCCTAGCTTCAACCCCGTCCTCCGCCCCAGTTCCAGTCTGGGACACGACCTAGACCTCTAGGGGAAATTCTGGGCTTTGCTTGCTGTTGGATGGACTGGAGAAGCGTGGGCTTTTAATGATACAGAAGTGGAAGAAAAAATCCTTTATAAGCTCCTGCAGAAATCAGGGGAACGGCCAATCCAAACTACAAAGTATCACGAGCTCTTTAGTCTGGAAGACCGCTAAAAAGGAAAAAAGTAAGGAGGTGGGCAGTGGTGGGGGGACTTGGGGACTGGGGCGAAAAGCGGCCCCGCCCACGCTCCCGCCCCCAGCCTCCTGCCGCACTGCAGGTAGGGACCGTAATTGGGGATCTGAGCTCACAGTGACGTGGCCCCTAGGAGACCTAGAGCTGATGCGTGCAAGAGTCTTGTCCTAGTTGCGGTCTGGTGGTCGTTTGTGGCTGTGTGCTGGCTCGTGTTGCTTGGAAGGCGGGAAGAGTCCGTAACCCGGGAAGGAGGGAGCCGAAGGAGCAGACCGCGATCGCTGCAGGTTGGTCGCTGCTGACTGGGGTGGGGGGTGCGGGTGACAGAGGGCAAAACCCGTGCGGTCCAGAACTGGGTTTTCTCTACCCCTTCCCCGAACCCCATCCCTTTGGTGCAAGAAATGAGGGCTTGGCGGGGAAGAGACGGAGAGGGGCCCAGGGTTGAGAAGGGGCACCGTGTGGCATCTTCCGGCTAGGTCTGAAGGAAGGGGAGGCCCGGTGGAGGGGGATGGCGGGGAAATAGTATGATCGCTGCGGGGCGCCGGGTGGAGGGTGCGACCAGGAACCCTAAGTGGCGACGGCGGGCTTGGTTCTCCGTGTCTCTTGTGCACTCTCCGTCCATTTTGTGTCGGAAAATGGTGGGCTGCGGGGCCGCGGGTGGGGAGGGGAGCGGTTGCTGCAGGGAACCGGGGCAGGGATTGGGTGTGGGAAGGACTCCCTTCTGCGGGGGAGGCTCCCGGGTGGTGTGCTTCCCACTGAGATCTGCTGAGGGCGGCGGGGAGCTGGAGAAGCTGCCCCGGGTCCCTGCAAGTCCGCGTAAGCACGGACGCTGCTGGCCCACTGCGAGCGAGGTAAGCGTGACAAAGCGCAGAGGCCGCCGCGTGTCCAGGTTTGCATTGCCCACACCACCTCCTCGCCCTTCGCCCATCTTGATGCATAAAATGGTGGGCAATGGAAGGAGGATGGGCTCCAGAAAGGCCACTGGAGTCCAAAGGTCCTGGAGGGTACACATTGGAATTCTTTATGAAAACACCATGTCGCCATACCTGACTCCCCTCACCCTGGGAGTTGTGCGTTTGCATTCAAGAAATGGTAGTCAGGTGACTGGAGGGGCGAGATGGTGGGGTCAGGAGAGATTGCAATTGTTTACAAATAATCATCTTTGATTACCGCCTATTGCTGTAAGTGGGGTAACACTAATCACAAAGCGGGCGGAGAGGGGGGAGGGGAAGAAACGTATGAGACGATGGAGGGAAAAGAAGGTGGGGATGTTTGAGTAGCAGCGCCCTAAATCTAGGAGGGAACTGGTGCCTCGATTCGGACCTTTAGGCCCTTAGTCTAGAGTCACTCCGGCATGGTCCTTGTTTCTCTCTGCAGGTTTTCAGGACTTAGTGCTGCAGACTTCCAGGCCAAGTAGAGGAAGAGTGATTGTCTTTCCTGCAGGTAGGGGGACTTCGGGGTGGC